CAAATCTGCTAAGCCTGTAGTGAAAACTGTAAAAAGATGGACTGCTGAAGCAGAGCAGGATTTACAGGCCTGCTTCGAACTTACTGATTGGAGTGTTTTTGAGGCTGCAGCTACTGATCTGGATGAGCGCACTAGAACATCTAGGCATAAAAACTGTTTTTTTCCCCATGCCATCTCCAGCCTAAACAGCTAACACAGGAATTATTACCTGTGTTCTGTAATTCATGCCTGTAATTCATTCTCCATCTCTAATTATTGCCTCTCTCTCAAGTACTATGTAAATACATATGCATATTTTTTATACAGCTGTATATATACAGAGTAAATAATGCACAAATCTGTACATAAAACTTCTGTTTCAGATTCATACAAATTATTATTTATTGTTAAGTCTTATTTAAATATTTCTGTTCTCATGTCAGATATGTATATATGTATGTATGTATGTATGTATGTATGCATGCATGTATGTACCAAGAGCTTCTTAAAAACCACAACAAATTCCTTGTGTGTTTGCGCACACTTGGCGAATAAAGTTGATTCTGATGAAAGCTTATGCTCATCTTTATGCTCATCTCTTACCTCTGCGTCTGTCACCACCATCTCTGTGCTGATTGTGAATGCGTCTACTACGGAATTCTGGACCACGGAAATCATCACGAGTTTCATTACCCACCGGCTCCGGCAACACAAACACCGTTCCTGTGTCAGATAATAATGGGGATCAAAACCAATTTGTATTCCCTTAATGTATTCAATAACAGAAACCATAACATAAAAACTTAATGACATGGGCATGATCATCTGAATCAGCCAAATGAAAGAGAATGGAAGTGGCACCTTTTGGCAGGACGTTGGTGTCTGGGTCGCTGGAGTGCACAGACATTACATCTTCTGATCCACTCTCAGACGAAGTGTCCGACTCGTTCATCCCGCTGTGTTTGGTGACAACAGCCGGTTTCCTGTAAAAGTAACGATTTACAAATGAGTTCATTCTGTCAGAGCACAAAGGGTTTCCAGATGCATCTCATCATTATTTAAGTCAAACCTTCTCGAACGAGATGACAGCATTCCCACTTCTGAGGGGCCACTGGACTGAAAAGAAAAGAAAGTATTGTAAACAAACAAATCTCTTGAAATCTGATGAATAGAGCAAAAAAGAAAAATCCATTTCAGCTATATACAATGACAATTACGTTGAAAAGTCTAAATCTATGCAGGAACGAGTTCTAGAACCCATTTTTTTACTTCCAGTTCTATCGTCCCAAACTAAGCGTTTTTTTTTATTATTCAATTGTAGTTAAATGCTACAAATAATGTCTGTGGTTAACATATCTCAAGATATTTTCCATGTTATTCTATGACATCAAATACATCAGTAATACCGCACTTGTGATTGTTATAGACTTTACATGTCTTGAAAAAGACGGTTGTTAAATGTGACTACATAAGTTGTCAGGTACATAAAACGGCATCACACTGAACAAGAATACAATCTACTCACAAGTCCTTTTTTACAGCCTCACTGTGTTTATACTCATATTCTTGCAAACTATTCTCAGCTTTCCAAAATCTCCAACTTGTAAATTTTAAATAAAAACTGAAAGAGTTGGTGGCAACATTTAAAGGCACAATATGTAATTTTTTGCCACTAGAGGGCACGTATTCAAAACAAACAAAGAAACAAAGGCGTAGTTAGATGACCCCATGACTGAGTGTGGAATCATGGGAGTTGTCGTCTCCATCCCCACAGCCGAAGCAATCCGATGGGACTCGGGCAGAAATCATGTTCATGGATGAGCTAATGTATTAAAGATTTATTAAAGGGGTCATATGATGCTGCTAAAAATAACATT